CAGAACACAGGTCAAGGGGAGAGAGTAAGAATAAAACTTGCCTTAGAGATTTCAGTCTTGAAACCTTAACGTCGTCTTCCTAACGACGTTCACTGTCAACCTTCTACTACTCTGGTTTAAATCCACAACCAATACCTTCCCTCCTCCTTGGTCCGTCTTTTAATCTACAGTTGAAACCCTACTGGTTCTCTCTGTTCTCTCAAACCTCACTGCTCTGTCTCTCTGCCTCCACTATTATGGGATTAGGGTTCTAAAACCCTTGGCAGACTTATACCAGTATATTTATCGGCCTTTATAAAACCTAAGTCCAATCATAATCAGAGACGGAAAACTAAACTACATACTAGTCGGCCAACGCATTATTTCATAAAAGAATAAAATCCTAATTTAACATTATTAAAATTTATAATTAAATTAATCTCATAACTTAACTAAACAATTAATGAAAACAAATAATTAAATTAAATTTTCCACATAAGCATACATTAAAGAAAACACATAATTAAATTAAATTATTAAACAATTAGAACAGATAATTTAATTAAATAAAAATAATCAAAACAATTAGACAAACAATCAAATAAAAATGTAATAAAATCATAAATTAAAATACCAACACTATTCTTTTTAAAATAAGAGGTATTACAAATAATGCCCTTTTTTAGCCTAAGACCCAGGCACCTTAATAACTTATACACACCCGAACACTACCAAACCTTACACCCAAACACTACCAGATCATTATTCCCCTCATCCATGATCTCCGATCAAGAGCCAAAGGGATTCGAGGAAGTGAGCAAGATACAGAAATCAGAGCGGGCGAACATGGTCTTCTCCTTAATAATGAAGATAGATCGGCATTTAAAATAAAATAAAATAAAATAAAAGCAAGAAAATACGATCAATAATCTCACGAACAGAGAGGCTCCGACAATGTGGTGTAAACGGTGTATAGGTTGTTAGCGGCGGAGAAGGGATAATTCAGATGAAGAAGTTGTGACAGAAGTAGTGGCAGTGAATTTATGAGGTTCGATTGGGTTTGATGGTGTGTGATTTAGCCTGAATTGTTTCAGCTTCAAAACGATGTAGAGAAGGTCGTGGTTGGTAATGGTGATGGTGGTAATGGGGGTGGGTTTTCTGGTTTAATTGAGTTTGACAATGTATGGTTTAGGATGAATTATTTGAGTTTTTATAGGTTTGGTGTGGTTGGTAGAGGTGATGATGGTAGCGGGATTGGGTTTTGTGGTGCAATTGGGTTGTTTAACATGAATTATTTGAATTTCTATAGGTTTGGGTGTGGTTGTGGGGTTGAGGCAGTGGGTTTGTAGGTGGTTGTGGGGTGGTGGCGATGGGTTTGTGTGGGTGGTGGTATTGGATTTGTGTGGTTTCATTCGGAATTGGGGTAAACTATTCGCCAACCTACTCCGATATTATTGCTCTGCCTACTCCGACAGTCGCAATTGCCTTCCGCTTCAGCCATGCCTGTTCGGTGACCAAGAAATCTGCTTGTACGCATGAATCCAATCGTTATTCAACTCTCTCACTCTAAAACTCTCACTCGATCTTTCTCGCTGTACATCTCTCTCTCTAAAACTCTCTCAATTTCTCTCTATTGTAAGGTGTGTATATACATACATACATATATATATATATATATATCTACGTGGGTGAAGTGCAGAAAATAATCCTAAAGTATGCCTACAGTGCATATCATACCCCTCACGTGCAAAAAAATTTCAATTTGGTACAAATATATTCCTATATCAAATTTAGTCCCCAAGTTGACTATATTACTCGAATCATTTCATAAAATATATAAAAATAAATAATTTTGTAAAATGATTGAAAATGACACTATTGGAAGAGGTCACTCTCGTGCAAAAATATACCCCTAAAGTTTCAATCTAATGCAAATAGGTCCCTCTGACAAATTTAAACCCTAAGTTGACTAAATTACTCTTACTGAACCATTGTATAAAATATATAAAAATAAATAATTTTATAAAATGACTACGCGCAAAAAAATACCCCTAAAGTTTCAATCTAGTGCAAATAGGTCCTTCTGACAAATTTAAACCCTAAGCTGACTAAATTACTCTTATTGAACCATTGTATAAAATATATAAAAATAAATAATTTTATAAAATGACCAAAAATTACACTATTGGAGAACGCCTGTAATGGACAAGTAAAGATAAAAATATAAAATAAAAATAAAAGTATAAAAGAAAAGTAAAGATAAAAATAGAAAATAAAAAACAAAACTAAAGTGGAAATTAAAGAAAACAAATTTTTTTCAAACTCCGAAAACCAGGGCACGCTAATATTGGGAATTTTTTTATTTTTTTTGTTTAACAGTGATGGTACCGAAAAAAATAAAATAAAGAGGAAAATAAATAGTAGAAAATAGTAAACTAAAATCTCAAAAAATTCAAATCATTGTTCTATAAATTCAAAGTTTTTTTTAAAAAAAAAAAAAAAAAAAAAAAAAATTGTTTAGAGATATATATAGAGAAAAAAGTTTCAAAAAAAAAGAAGATAATTTGCACATAACACCTCTAAATTATGATATTAGTAGCATATATACCCCCTAGGGCATTTTTGAAAAAGTAAAAGGACAAAACAGGTATTAGAACACTAATTTATGTCAGATATTTTTGCATAATGTGAAAAAATTAGGGGTGCTTTTTGCATATTTTTTCAAATATGGGGTAAAAGTGTTACGCGGGGTATACTTATTTTATTAAGGTCTCTTTTTTAATTTCATCACACTTTAATCAGTATGTTGTCGCTCTCCCATTGGTTGGTGAGATTCTATTTGTCACATCAGCAACTTAAGTTCACATTATTTTAAATTGTGCCCTTTTTAAATAAGGGCAAATTTGTCTTTTGCCTTTTCTAGTGACCTTGTGCGGTAAATTGCAACAAAATCATAATTCGGGGTTTTTTTTTTTTTTTTTGTAGTTTAGAGGGTTAGTTGCAAAATCTCAATAGTTCGGGATTTTTTTTTACATTTTACCTAAAAAAAATATAAAAAATAATAAAATAAAGCTGAACGAAATATGAGAGAACTTTTAAATAGAAAAAATAAAAGTTTTGATTGAATGAAGGTGATGTGCAATTAATGATTACGTATATTTTAATTTAGAACATATAACTCATAAATCTTAGTGGAGTAATGCTAAATTGTATTTTAACTTAATTAAGAATTCCACATATTGCTTGTCAATTAAATCCTAAATCTCAGTTGAGTGATGGTACCGTGAGCTCGTTTTTCACTGTAGATTCGCAAGTTTTTAGATTAAGGGTATGGCACGCAAAAACTCTCCATTTATATATATATATTTATTTTTCCTTATTTTTAATCGGTAAATACACTCACCCTTAATCTCTCAAAATAATATCACTAGGGTTTAGTCGTATAGATGAAAACCTCAGTTTTAGTAAAAATTGGTTTTAAAAAAAATATATTTAATTCACTTATGATAATAGTTCTACTTTCTTTTTCACCTCATGTTGGACCTCTGTCGAAATCATGTTGCCTCTCATCGGGGCCAACCTTGTCATTTACTCACAAGAATTTTAAATCTTTTCCATGTCGGAAGAGTCCTCTTGAATTCATTTAGGCCCCTTAAATACGTTTGAGAGATGTGCAACCAAGTCAATTAGAAGATGTGATTGAAGATACCTCACAAGAAGTAAAGGATCCAAATACGTTTTGACAATAAAGCATAGTTATAGCTTTTTTGGTACGGATCAATCACCATGCGACACAATAGCAAATGCATCATGTAAGTTTTAATAAGCTTTTTTAATTATAGATGTGTCATATGGTGGTGATTGGCTTGACCATGTAATCATTCTCTTATTAGGGAAAAACTTTTTTACAACCATTGCACTGTGCAATAGGTACATCCATCCGTTCACTACTACTCGTGTAATACACGCGCGCATGGGCAGTCCGTATGCCACTCTGCAACGGCACAAGTAAGTTTTTCTCCTTATTAGGAAGATAAATATCATTTTCTCCGCTTACCTTTCTAACTGCTTCCCACTCATTGAAACAGATTCTCCTTCATTCTTCATTCTTGTTTATGCTTAGTAGTGGGGACAATATCTGGTAGAATGACCAAAAGATTTACACCCTACGCATGTTTGGGGTTTCCATAGGACCCCCACCCTAATCTCAATGATTTTGGAATGCCATTACAAGCATCAATATCAATACAAGTGTTAGCATAAGTGAGGTTTCCATAGGACCCCCACCCTAATCTCAAAAGATATTGGAACGTCATTACAAGCATCAATCTCAATCCAAGTGAGCATAAGTGAGGTTTCCATAGGAGCCCCAACCTAATCTCAAAGATATTGGAACGACATTACAAGCGTCAATCTCAATCCAAGTGTGAGCATCAGTCAGTCTGGTGGGTTCATCAAGGAAGAATGGGTTGTAATCCATAGGTACTTCATCTTTCAAAGTAGAAGTTCGAGATGTAAGTTCTCTCATAAGGGCATGTGGGTGCGAGTTTCTTGCCGGAAAAGAGAAAACCTTAATCCAAAATTCCAACCAAACGTTATAAAAATTCACCCAAACTGGGAAAAGTGACAAATGCATTCCCGGGAAAACCTTTTTTTTTTTTTTGAATGATAAAAAGCTTACCACCTAAATAATAAGCCCCCCCTTCAAGGATTTTCTTAAGCTTGTCATCATTTCTAAGATTAAACATGAGAAATCCATTGTTCAAAGTCAATTTCTAAAAATTAAAAAAAAAAAAAAAAAACCAAAAACAAAATCTAAAAGAGCAACATTACCAAATTTAGGCCTCAACCAGGATTCCCATCTGTGAAATGAAAATCAAACCCCAAGCAGTGAATGCAACATCATCATCTGTGGAAGTCTGGAGTCAGAAGTATCGTAATCGGGCAAAAATAATATAGAGCCCATGGACAATTGTTTTTTCCCTTTACTTTCTCACGGCTCAAGCTGTAACTCAAATGTATGAGAAAATAGCAGCTTCCTGATCTTACCATTCCTCTAAGTAGATTGTACTGGATTGTTTAACAGAACTGATACATTATTCAGCGGCACAATTTTCAGATACACAATATCCAGGGCATGCATTAGCAGACCCTGCAAACATAAGAGCAAAGCTCAAGACTCTTACCCTGCTACGGTAAAAATAATCACGTCTGCTACAAACAAAATTAAAGACCCTCGAAGTATCTCATATGGTCTTCAAATGTTTCTGCATGCCGTATCTTGGTTACTGATCCATCTTCTTCGACCTAAAAACATCAATTCAAATTCTCTGCGCTTAGAGTACTAATGGCAAAAAAAGTATATGCGCAAGTTTAATTTAGTCAAATATACACGAGTCAATGCCAATTTGAACATAAAATTTCCCCCGCCATGGATTAAAATTGAAAAATGAAAAGCCAGGTGCTCATTTACGGGAAGAATTAAGTTTAGGAGGAACATGCCGGAGGAAGAAGAACAAACTTTTAATATGAAATTCATGTTTAAATGTCATCTCTTCAAACTTTTTTGCATCATATGTGGCAGGGAATGCTCAAGCTAGTTAAGTCAATAAAAAAGGTTCACAAGATAAATTCATCTTCTCCTTTATAAACAAGCAGAAAATATTCACTTGAGGCTTTATTTGGTTTGAAGGTTTAGAACTGTTGAGGGATGATGGTGTGTCTTGGCTGTCAAAACTGTTTAATAAGAAAATAACAACAAAGAGAATACTGATGAGTGACACAAAAGTATTGTAGTATCGATATAAATAATAATAAAAGGGGATACGAAGTTGTACTAATTATTGGACACCAATTAAGACGGGTGTCTGGAAAATCAATTCGGAATTATGCATGGGAGGTGTCGATTGAGGCTATTTAATTATTGAGGAGACTAATGAAAGTATATAGATTATAGAGAAAAGAGAAAAAGATAAAGCTTATGATAACTAATCTAGAGATCTAATATGGAGAGTTTCTTAAAAAGAAAAAACAGAAGCGGGGGAGGGGGAGGGGGAGGGGGTGGAGAGAGATCTAATATGGAGAGTTTCTTCTTCTTTTTAAGAAATAAAAATAAAAAAGAAGGAACCACAAAGGAATATATTAACATGATAAAGGTGAAAGCCTAAGAATAGTTAGAATGACTACCGAGGACAATGAGTGAATTCCCAATTGTTGTATTAATCTAACATCAAGATTAATAATATTAAGCTCATATTTGTTTGGCTTAGTTATAGATGAATTGGCGAGAAATGACAAGTCACATTTAGGATGAAAATTTATAGTATATGTTATTCGTCCATGGTATTGTTTGAAATGATAAAACTAGAAAGAGTAATTGTTAAAGTGGAGGTTAGGAGGCTCTCTAGAATTAGAAGGATTTAAGATAAGTTACAATAAATCTAAATACATTGAATGTAATTTTTTAGTTAATCTAGAAATACAAATACAGATGCAATGAAGATTGAGAATCAAGAGATACCAAAAAGTGAACATTTCCCCTATTTAGGCTCAATCATTCACAATGGATTAATTGGAGATGACGTTAATCAGAGTCAAGACAGGATGGGAAATAAAGGGGAGTGTCTGAAATATTGTGAAATCGACATGTCCCTCTAAGATTGAAATGAAAGTTCTACAAAAAAGTTATCAGACCAATCATTATTTAATGGAAAGAATGTGGGGCATCTAAGAAATAACATATGCACAAAGTGATTGTGAAAAAAATGTAAAAATTATATTAAAAATGAAATGATACAATTAAAAATGAACAAATTCATGAAATGGTTGAAGTAGCAACCATTGGAGTTAAAATGGGGGAAAAAAAATTTCGATTAAGATGGTGTGGACATGGGCAAAGATGATCACTAAGTGCAACAGTAAAGAACAATAACATGATCCATGTTGAGAGTAATGCTAGGAAAATGAAAAAGACCAAAATTAATATGGATAGAGGTAATAAGAAAAGGTATGATGACATGTGATTTGACCAAAGCGTATGGTCTTAAGTAGAGTAGAATGGGAAAATAGGATTCATATAGGATTCATATAGCAGAGCTCAAGTAGTTGGGAAAGGCTTTATTTTTGATTGTTTGTTGTTGCTTTATTTGGTTTGGATTTAGTGAGGAAAAGGAAAAGGACAAAAAATAATAATAATAAATAAATAAAGAGAGAGAGAAGCTATCTCCCTCATGTTTTCTCTAATATTCAATAAACTTAAAACTCTTAAATTTAGTAAGGTTTTCTAATTTTGAAGTCCTTCGAATAAACAAAACCAACACCTAGATAAAACTACACTCCCTATGACTGATAATGCAGAAATGTCTGTCTAAAATTATCAGAATTTAATTTGATCATTCAATATGATGAGAAAATTGTTCTTGACATTGCGTTAACAATAACAAAATATATATTTAAAATTAATAACAATTACTCCCCCATCCAAAAACTCTTGTCCCTTTTCCATTTTTGGTAGTCCCAAAATTCATCTCCCAATTAAAATGTCAATCCAAAAAGATTTTATATTTCACAAACTATCCTCAACTTTTGAACACTTCTCACAACTTACCATATGAAATTTTAAACTTGAAATGGGTAGTTTTGGAATTTTAAGAAGGAATAATGCATTAATTGCATGTCCCTTTAAAGAGTTGGAATCTGAAAATGGAAAAGAATTCGGGCACTTAGAGAGTTGGTGAATACAATATGAAGTCAAATGGCATACCCAGTACTCAGGTGGGCGCATCTTGAGGTTGTAAGTTGATGCCATGCTCATGCAATAAGCACCTGCATCATGAACTACCAAGCCAGCTCCCTGAAAAGTAAAACTCCTGATCAGTGAACAATAGAATAATAGTATTGCTGTAACCATCCCATAAAAAGTGGTACAACGCAATACCCTAGCTGGAGTGGGAAGTTCCCTTTCCTTTCCCAAGAAATCTGCTGACTCACAGACTGGGCCCACCACATCAAAAGTAGAAATCTCAGCTTCAGATGGTGAAGGAGAAACTAGTTCTATGTGCTGCACTCATAAATGAAGATGATGAGAAGAAAGAAACAAGTTATCTGGAAAAGAAAAATGACAGAATTTTCAAGGATAGGTGGGTTTGGATTTCTATTAGATAGAAAGTCTCATGTAAAATACAGACTTGCAGGGGGATAAAGGTTTACTGGTCTTCTCTTCAGAACAGGATATATGTAATTAGTACCAATTTAGTATTGCAGAAGTAAAAAACAAGCTTTCAAAAAAGAACAATGTTGAAGTGATAGTTTGGGTTTTGGTTTATATTTGATTGAAATTCTTATGTAAAACACAGTGCTGCAAATGAATAAAGCTTGACGGGCTTATCTTCAGAACAGGACAAATTTATATAGGATGAATTTTAGCATTTTACTAAAACAAACAGCAGAAACATCACCAACTCCTACAGCATATTAGGGTTGCAAATATCAGAAATTTGTCAAAAAAATAAAGCCATTTACTAACCTATGCTACAAGAACTCTTCAAAAATGCATGAACTACCCACATCGGATGCCTATGTTACCTAGACTCGGGCACGTGTGTCAGTATGGATATGTATCCACACATCGAACTTGTCAAATCCCAAACAAAAGGACACATGGGACACTGATGAATATCAATATTATTTAATAATTTTATTTTATCTTTTAGAGTAAAAATAATTTCTTTATGTAGTGTCTAATATAAGTTTCTCATTCGTTTTGAATCAATAATTAATATAATAAAATTAAATAACTGGATGTGTTTTTTTAGGTGTATGTCCAACCGCAAATGTCAGACACATACCCATGTCCCAATATTGTGTGTCCGACGCGGGTACTTCACCCACTTTTGAAGAGTCCATGTAACGTAACCAGACACGCAACACTCAGAACATAGGTATGGGATATGTGCCTTGACATTCATAATTAGGCATGCACCAAACACGCATATCCAAATACTTACACTTTATTATTATATATAAAACTCTTTTACTTTGTTTTTTTTGCTTCAAAACAAGTAGGGCTGCAAATGAGCAGAGCCAAGCCGAGCTGAGCTTTAGGTTGCTCGGGCTCGGCTCGCCTAAATTTTAAGTGTGGTCGGGTTCGGACAAGCCTGGCTAGGCCTAGCTCGGGCTCGGCTCGGCAGATTTTTGATGAGCTCGGCTAGGCCCGGGCTCTTGAGTGTATATATATATATATATATATATATATATATATCGATCAAACGAAGCATTTTCCATGGCCCCCTGAAGCAGGAAGGGTAAGATATATATATAAGAAACAGTTTTCAGACACAAAGATTGCCACCATCTTCAACCATTAACCAATCAGATCTTCATCTTCTCCACCAATTTCTGGTTCCACCAACAGGGAATAGAGAGAGAGCAAAGTATCATTGGTCACTGATGGAGTTGAAGAAAGGCCAACCAGTGAGGGAATACAGAGAGTAGAGTAATATTTATATTTGGTCTCGGTGGAGTCGAAGGGAGGCGGGAGCAATGGCTAGAAGAGTTACACGAGTTGCAGAGCTTGAGGAGCGTCGTCTTGTTGCTGCGGCTATTTAGGGTTATCTGACCTTTTCACCTTTAACATGTATATAAAAGATCCAATGGCTTAGATGAAACCATAACTTGGGCCATTGTATTGTTTAGTTGAATGGGATTTTAGGTGCAAGATGGGCTTCCATTTGGGGCCAATTCAAGATTTACATGTATCCAATTGAGCCAATTAAAGATTTACATGTATTTGGACTAAATTTATATGGATGGGCTATGTTTTTACATATAAAAAATAAAATTTTATATATATTTATGCAAACGAGCCTGCTCACGAGCCGAGCTTAACATTGTTCAAGCTCGGCTCGTTTACTAAACGAACCTGGAAAATGAGCTCGAACTTGGCTTGTTTACTTAACGAACAAGCCAGAGCTGAGCCCGAGTTGTTCATGAACAGCTCGGTTCATTTGCTGCCATAAAAACAAGTGAAAACATTATTTCACATTAGAAAATAAAAGAAAATATTAACTAATATGAATATTTAGCTGTCCTTGGGTTTAGAGTTTTGATAAACCGACACTTTAGACACATTCCAGAACCCAACACATGAATCCGAGTCCATGTAATATAGTTGACACCTAGACTGGCTGTAATTATCAGGTCTCTCACTAAAAAGGTACACTTGGACAAGTGTTGGTGCCCAACATGCATATTAGTCCCCAAAAAGGCTACATCAAAACAAAATGGAACTCTTATTGTTGTTTCAAATTTTCAATATGATGCTCCACAAGGAAATGCATCAATTTGTCAACATGTCAAACATTGCAAAAATGCCACAAGAAGAGTCTTCTAGGAACCAAAGTATTTGGCTACAACCACTGCAATGGAGCAAAGAAAACAGAAAAAAATTCTATGAGGGAGAAAATGTCAATTATCCAAATTTTATATTCAAAAGTAAACCAAAAAAATATAACATGGAATGTGCAAAAAACACCATTCCCAAAAGCCAGCATATTTGGCAATAAGACTAGCTAATGGTACTAGAAATCTTACTTGATAAGCATCATAAAGGCTAGGACGGATAAGTTCTGCCATGCTGCCATCAATGACAATAAAATTTTTTGTACCATTAGTTTTTACCCCCGTCACACGATTTACCAAGCAGCAAGTATTTGCAATAAGAGATCTCCCAGGTTCAATGATGAGGTTGAGATTTCGTGAAAGGACCAGTTCCCGTACCTGCAGCAACCATCCATAAAGAGAAAAGATGGTGAACATCAGATAGTCCAAAGAATAAATTCCTCTGAATCTCTGTAATACCTGCAACACTAGGAGGTAAGGTTTTAATCATCATTTAAACATCTCTATCAGCGTTGAGTGAACCCAGAATAAATCCTGATTTCAATTTGACTAAGGAATTCAACTTCCTCTTTAAGACTTTTGGGTGGTAAAAACATTAGTCAACTGCTTTAATAAATGGTTTCCCTTCTCCCTTTAGGAGCGGGATTAAATCCTTTGGATACCTGCAATCACCCCCAAAACCATGGTATGAGGTAAGACCAAGGCAGAAGCTTAAAGCCTACATGAATTGATGACAAGACTTCAGAGATATACTTCAAAGTCTCTATGCCAACTCAACTATCCAATAAGGGTTGTCAATTGGCTTGTTACATAAAAAAGATTTAAGGACTTCGTTTTTTTTTTCTTTTTGTGTATGTCCTAGCAAAGAACTCCCACAATGTTCTTGGGGAGACTCGAAGTCTCTACCTTTCACTTTGGAAGGAGATGAAATACCACTAGACTTTCAACTTTGCTAACACAAAAATCTTTCCAGCAAGTAGGCATCACTATATTCAGAAAATGTAGATATTTAGTTTCAAAATACAGGCCAGAGACTATCATTGCGTATGCTGATACTTGTTTCAAGGCACACAAACCCACAAGACCATAAATGACTTGTGCGTCTTGGTGAGTTGGAGCTACCAGACACATGTATGAGTGCCATGATCAATGCATTACAGTTTGTGTCCTTATCATCATAAGAATTACAAACTAAAAGTGTCAAGTAATAAAATCTCTTTCATTGTTCAGACACAAAACACAGACACCAAAAAAAAAAATGTAATATGTATGCATGCACTGCAATACCATGAAAAACATATAAAATAGAATAACTAAATCTGAAGGCTTCCAATTATCGTTTATCATAGGCAATAATTTAATACAACAATCTCTTTTGATATCTTTCTGAATTTAGGAAGGAGAGAAATTAGGTCTTCTCTTCTGTAAGTAGTTGAATGATGATATTGGCTACTAATTCTTCGGACTGAACCCCCACACGGTATCCGAGTAGGCATAAGGCCTCTCTGGCATGATGACCCAGAGGTCATGAGTTCAATTCTTGGGAGTGTTAAAATTCCCATCCCCTGGGCTTACCCAATACCTGTGGTTTGGGGGTGATTGCGGTCTCCAAAGAGATTAGTCACACCCCTAAAGCGATGAGGACACCTTCCGTTATAAATATAAATATATACAAATATATTAATCTTTCAGACCCAAGTGGTACTACCATTCTGCCAATTGATAGGGTGGTGTACCAACTGCAAGTACCCATCATCTTAGACCCATTAAGGCATTTAAATGTAAAATAGTACTGCCCAAGCTTAGAATGTGGCATTTATACTCATTAGAATACTGTGTTGAGGACAGAACTCAGAAGTCATTCGACAATACTTGGATAATAATGTTATCTAATACAAAAGTATTGCAAAACAAAACTAGCTGTGTATCAAGAACTAACATGATATTTACCCCACTAAATAACATCCTCACTATCAAACTAAGAACCATGGATGATCACTTTTTCCTTATAGAATGAATTTCATATGATCGTATGACTAAATTAGATATATAGTCTCACAGTGTTGATAAGATCTCTGGGTGTAGGTAGGATAGCTCCAGCATGATAATAATCAATCCCCAGACCACCTCCAATGTTTAAATAATTTATTTCGAAGCCCTGTGCTCGAATTTGGTCGATGTAATCCACCATAAGGACTGCAGCATCCCTGAAAATGTCTACCTGAAAATAATAATAGGAATTCTTTTAGATTTACATATAACATAGGAGAATTTGATGCATAAAATTAAAAATAAATAAATTGAAGTACACTGGATACAAAAAATTTGCATAATGTCAATAATGAAAAAAGTAGAGGTAAATTAACAGAAAATAAATCCAAATGGAGGAGATACATAAAATATATATATGACCCCTCAAAAATAGTGATTTTATATATATTTAAAAATAAATAAAAAACTAACTTCACCCCTAGGAAAAAAATTAATTACTCTCTTCCTCTCCCCACACCCACCCCCCCCCCCAAAAAATAATAATAATAATAATAATAATAATAATAAAAGAAATAAATAAACAAATAAATAAATCCATAACATTTATTTATTGGCCCCAAAAATAGTGAGTTTGAAAATAAAAATAACTTGTGTCCCCATAAAACACATAAAATTTCAACTTGAACATTTTAGCTTACTTTTGAAAGCCCAAATATTGTGAAACAAATAATTAAGATAATTATTATGGTTGTTCTTGATGCAACATAACAAATTATAAAGATATACTAATACTCCAATTGGATGGCGTTTTACGAGAAAAATATTTATCAAGATATGCTATACTCGAATTGAACAAATTCGGGGAAAGTGGGAAGGTGGGAAAACTAAAGTATTGCGGGACGAAGGAGACAAGAATTCCACCAATGAAAATGATATCAGATATACTAATATTTTTAGTTGTCACTTGTTAAATGACAATTTCAATAGCTACTCCTCGTTTACGTTACAAAAACTTCTCTATTTTTTTTTGGTAATTGTTTTTTGTTAAAAGTTTACGAGATACTTTCAGTTAAAATGGTACAATCTTTTCTTAATCATTCATCAAGAGAATGACATGTCTTTCTCAAATAAGGAATTGGAGTATTCAAAAATAAAAATAAAAAACAGAAACTGAATTTTTTAATTGAAATAATTCTGAAACAAACTAACTTTAAACAATGTTTTAAATTTACCACCCTTTTTTTTTTAATCTATAACTTATCATTTCTTATCCTATATGATTTTTCCTCTCTCACACATACGCGGGCACAGACACAACACAAGCATTGTCGATCCATCTTCAAAATTAGCATTTATTCTTAGATATTTTTCCCAGGGCACTGAAAACAAAGATTTTCCCTTTACTTAATTTAGCACAGAAAGAAGCCAAAAAAATGGGAGAAATTTGTCTCTGCACAAAGAGAGGTATACGATGTCTCACATTTAGCACAAGAACAAAACATTCAAATCAGCAGCCTATAAATCATATATATAATGGAAATTCCTGCTCATTTACCAAATGCTAAACACATATACAATCATAATTGGTGTCATACATATGGAAATAGGAATAAATGAATAAAAAAATTTCAAGAACTTTCAATTGTGTGACAAACATTAATGAAATTATAGTGAGCACTGCTAGTTCCAAGTTCATTTCATTAGTATAACATTGCAAAATCATATTCTAAAATATGAAGTAGAAAACAGAGTCCTGTTAAGGTACCTTGGTAATGGTAGAGCCGAGATGGCAATGGGCGCCCACAAGCTTCAGCTCATCTGGATGTGCCTTCACAGAATCCAGAAACCATTGCAGCTTCTCATTTCTAATACCAAATTTGGAATTCTTATTTCCAGTGGCAACATATGGATGGACCTAAGAAAACATACGCATCCAGCAAACAAGAATGAAGTTTACTATTAAAACAAAGAGAAATTAATACCTTCAAAATTTTATGTACGGAACAACCTCTAATTGCAGGGGAAAAAAAAAAAGTAGAAGAAAAGGTAGCAAAATTTCCAAGACAAAGTACATATCATAGCCATTAATAGGGATAGAGGAGCTTCTGGTGTAGTGATATAGCAGGACATTGGCAGTGGACTGGTATGGACGAGGTGGTTGCAGGGGTGTCAAAGCAATAAATGGTACTTAGGTGATGGTTGATTATTAAAGCTAATAGTGGTGACAGTAGGGGGCAGTTGCAGCAGAAGTGGCAATAGTTATTGTGGTGGTGTCAGTGCAGTGGCATAGGATTGTTGTACTGGTAGTGTGTGACCAAAATAGTGGTTAGGAGTAAGTGGCTGTACCATATTTCTGGTAATAGAGATGATTATGTATCACAAAAATCAATGTCAAAAGGCTTATGCAAAACCCCTATGCATATCAGTGTAAACCTTTTATCATGAAACAAAGCATGGTTCTATAGATTTACAGAAAAGAATTTTTAAGTTAGCTTCAAAGGTAACCTCACCTTAGTATTGTAGAACTATAAAATGTAGATACATTAAAATTTGACAATGATTTGCTGAGAGCCCAGTCCAAAGTTTGGTTCCTCAAACTTATCTACAAATATTTACATAAAACACACCATATATTTAACTATGCCTTTAGTCTAAAAAAATTCAGTCGTCTGTATTATAATTTTGGGTTTTAATACGTACAAACATACATTATGATTTCTCTGCACACACTTGCACATGGTCACATACTGGTCCATTCACATACAAATGTAACACATGCACAACAGCTCAATCATTTACACACACTAGCTCACTCACTCCCATATGCATTAAACCCGCTGACATGCATGTAAATACTCATTTGCACGGTATTACATCTCTCACATCATTTCCCTTTCACATTAGCATATTTCAAGTGCCTATCAGGGTATGATTAAGCCTAGAATTGGCTTTGGTATTATTCTTAGAAACACAAACATTATTAAAAGAGAGTAAGGCTATAAAAAGAGTCCTCTCATTACAAGAGATATGAGCTCTCTTTTGTTGACTATTCGATTGAGAGAGTAACTACAAGATTCATTTGACTTTTCACATATCTCAAAAACTGTCTTAATCTAGTGATTAAAAACTGTCTTAATAAGGGTACGATTAAGCCTAGAATTGGCTTGGTATTATTCTTAGAAACACAAACATTATAAAAAGAGAGTAAGGCTATAAAGAGAGTCCTCTCATTACAATAGAGATGAGCTCACTTTTGTTGACTATTGGATTGAGAGAGTAACTACAAGATTCATTTGAGTTTTCACATATCTCAAAAACTGTCTTAACCCAGTGATTAAAAATGGAATTCATGACTCGTGTTATGAAAAGGGCTCTCTTCTAGCCTTACTCATAAAAAGAAGGGAAATGTTTCATTTCATCAGTCCTGTATTGCTCCGCTCTCATTCAATCAGACCATTGCTTAAAGCTTTGCCCCAATTTTGCACAGTGCATTATGTGTCCGACTGGAACAAAGTGACCTTTTTAGGATAAATATCCTGGGGAGTGCATTCTCCGCTAGGATTCCCTCCTAATGGCGGAAAAGGCTAATGAGCAAGCGGATTGACATTATTATTATCTACTTCTATTCCCTTTCTTGAGTCATTCATGTTTTTATAAAACTTGCATCTTTGATTCCTACTAATTCTAGAAAAGACTAATGAGCAAGTGCATAGACTACTTCTATTCTCTTCCTTGCATCGTTCATGTTTTTATAAAACTTGCATGTTTTCACAAAAACTAGATCCAGTTAAACGAAGGAATGCGCTAAGAGGGGACAACAAAATCAATTCTAAGATAATTTATGAATTAAGGATTCCTAATTTACGAACTCGGATCGATTTATGAACTCCAAGAGATTTATGAACTGCAAATTTTGGATGAGATTTATGAACTGTGTTTAATTTGTGAGCAAAACAGATTTACGAACAGATCGGGTTTATGAACAGTAAACGAAGTGACAAGATTGATTAAGATTAACCAAAGTAATAGTTGTGTTTTGCTGTTCAGGTCTCTATCTTGGAGCTCAAGAAATCTTCATAACGTTAATGGCAGACCCCTATTTCTTTTTTCGTGTTTGAAGAATTTAAATTTCCTTGATAGATAGAGAAGACAATGCACTAGTATTGTTCAGTTCAACATGACAATATAGAAATCATACATGCACATATAGGAATTATTTTTTTTTAATAATAATAATACTGAATCTTAGACTTCATACGTATCATTATCATAACACGAGTTAAAATTCGGCATCTACTGACCTGAGGATCCACATCTGGATTTATCCGGAGTAATACATTAACCTTCTTCCCAGCAATTCTTGAAGCCGATACAATATTTTCTAAATCAAATTCACTATCAACATTGACAAAAACACCTTCCTGGGCGGCTAATACCAGATCCTCCAAGAGCTTTCCATTTCCATTAAAAATACACCTGTTCTTCCAAACATAATGCAACAAGTTAAAACTACATGGGGCACTAACAAGCACATCCCAAAATTACACTTAAACCAAGAATGAAATAATTAATAGGGAGACGGGTTAAATTTTTTATACAGCATATTTATATTGCCAAAAATATTTTGCAAGATGCAATTTGGTAATGACATTAATCTGCAAAAAGAAATCCCTATTCTCTTCCTTTATTTTATTTTTTTTCATTTTTCTTATATAGAAACATGGCATCTGTACCTTGTGTATTACTAATGAAGCAATTTTATATCTATATAATGAATTTGGAAGTTCTAAAAACTGTATTGCACACTTCCATCCCTAGTCTTAGAAATTTTGAGAGTGGAAAGCATTTAAATTTTAAAATACTTTTTTCTTCTTTTCAATTTTCTGTATGAAGTCTTATATCATATTTATCCACTTATCAAAGATTTAATCACTTTAAAAATAAAAAATAAAAATGAACACATGGCATCCTCTACAAAAGCATTTGCAAAATAATGCAGAATTAAACAATTTAAACTGCTTGATAAGCGAGAAAATCGCATTGTACAAAAGACATTGTTTTTTTTTTAGGTTATCATTTGCAACTTTATGTATACATACTACTTCTTACAATGAACAGCTGTCTTAGGTCCAAAATGGATGCTTAATTTATCACCGTCCAATGTACATCAGACAACTTATGAACAAGCAAACATTAATCAAACCCTGTCTGCCGAAAACCCAGTATCAATTTCAAAACAACCTTTCTCTAATCAAAATTGTGCGTCTTGCAACATTTCCCAGCTATATTACAAATCACTCGAGCAACCATGGAGACAAAAATACCATGTCAATGTCTCAAAATGAATAATTATGAAGAAAAAAAAATGTCTCAAAATGAACTTAGTCTGAGTCTTGATACCAAAAGCAACACGAGCAGTAGAGAGATGACAAAAAACTCTGAACTTCTGCGGATTCTATGAATTACATAGATGCAATCTTTAGCTGCTAACACACACTATTAAATACCAAAATTCCAACACAAAGCACAACCATATTCTGAAACCAAGCTAAAAATGTGTGTGCATAATAATATTAAGGCATATACCATATAATTTAGTTTACCTAGTGGGATCAAACCGGGCACGAAGCGCCAATCTGAGCTCATTGCCACTGACCAGCACAGCACCACAACCCAACTTTCTCAAATGCTCCAAAATCTTGAGATTGTTGTTGGCTTTGATTGCATACCCAATAACCGAATTCAAACCCTCCAAAGCATCCCTGTAAGCCTCGACATTTCTTGTGATTTGGGGCTTGCTGTAAAGATAGAAAGGCCTTCTCTCCACTGTCTCCATGACATCCTCAACCTTAAGGCCCTCACAGTACAAATACCCATCTTCAGATTTGGTGAAACAGTGCTGAAAACTTTGAGTTTGTGGGTCAGATGCTAGGGTTTTTGTAGGGTTTTGGGACAGGACCGCCCTTAGGTTTAGGGTTCTTGAGATGGGTTTGAAGGTGATAATGGGCTTGCTAACAAATGGGTTTGTGGTGGAGTTTGAAGGGTATTTAAGGAATTTGGGAAAAGTTGGTGAGTGAGAAAGAAGATGAGAAGCCGCCATTGAAGGAGCAGACAAGAGCACTGAGTTTTGAGTGAGAAAAATTTGTTGCAGACAGTGTTGACGAAGGGTTTTACATTTGGGGGTAGCCAGTAAGTCACTTGCCTGTGATATGAATACATCACAGGCCAATGAAATTGTTGAATTAGTACTCAAAATTGACCCTTGTGAGAAGGGAAAATAACGAAAACATTATTCTAATTTCTACCTCGGAAAAATTGAGGTTTGACCACATTAGGTATACTGTGTTTGGCTGCCTTGTTGACATATTCCGAACCCAGGTTTGGATTTTTTTTCATAAGAAGGAAATTTGGGATTTTAATTCGAAAATTAGAGCTAAATATTTTTTATCCTTAAAATTTTATTTTATTATTCTAATTAACACCTAATATATTTAAAATTGCATTAAATCTATTTTTTAAAAAAAAAATTACAAAAGTATTACTGGATCTTAGATGTTTCTATGACATCTAACTCAAAATAAAATATATATCTATGTCGTAATAAAATATTCAAATTTCAAAACATTTTAATGGTAAATGAACATAATACTAATTACATAAATTCACAACCCCAATCCACTAAGTATTGATAAGTTCTATTTTAGAAAACTTAGTGTATAAAATTACAAAATAATTTTATTTAAAAAAATTCCAACATAAAATTTTATTTGTACAATCACACGCAAGATAACATAAGTAGGTCAGTCAATGATGAAATGAAATTTAAACAACACTAAAGATAATTTCATCATTAAAGTTGTTGTATTGTTGAAACAACACAAGACCTAAATTTGCAAAGGAGATGATCTGATCAATTAAAATTGGCGCTAATTTAAAGGAGAAATCATGAATATAAAGAAAGGATTGACGGTTTGGTGTCAAATTAGCTTTACCAAAATGTAAAATTAATTAATTCTCCCGGGAACCAAAAAAAAAAAAAAAAAAAGTCAAATGAAATAACAAAGAGTAATGGTAACTCTTTGACAAAACAAAACAAATAGTACTAACTATAAAAAGAAGACAAAACTATTTTTATTCTAGAAAATCTGGAGTTAGATGTTGAAACGGTTAAAAGTTAAACTATTTTGTTTAGAGTGAAAATTGAAGAAGCCAAAGGAAGTTCTACAGCTACCAGCTAAAAGTTAAATTACCTTTAAAAAAAATAAAGTATATCTTATGAATACTTCATGAGGCACATTATATTTTTTTTTTTTTTCGGAAAATGACATGAGGCACATTATTGTCAACTAGAATTCTACACACTAATCACAAGCCCTGTATATAATAATATCATTTGGTAAATTATTGAAATTTGGCAAATAATGCAAATTAATACAATAAAAAATCAAGGAGAAAAAACAAAAGAATATATATGAAAAAAAGTTTCAAATGTAACAATCTATTTAAAATCTCAAGGAAAAAAGAAAAAGGAACACACTTTGTCACCATATTTTTTCTTCCAAAACTATTTTAATAAGTTGACATACTTTAAGTATTGTTTTCTCAGTACACATCAATTAGATGAGTTATTCTGCATTGTGAAAGCACGAACGGAAAGAAATTAGTATTTGGATACTTGGGGCCTGTTTGGAATATAATAAGGCCCACCCACTCAAATAATTAATATGATAAGGCCCACCCGCTTAAATAATTAAATACGCTAAGAACTCATTACTTGACTTATGATCGTCTTTATTTATGTTTGGTCCCACTAAACTTGCGTGATAGTCTTTTGTTGATGTTTTCTTTCACACACGAAAACTCAATAATTGACTTGTCTTGCTCTTTATTAATGTTTGGCAATTCCTAAAATAATAAATCTATGGAACTTGAATGTTCCTATGGTAATAGAATGGTACTGAGGTCTTCCCTCCTCCTACTTTTTTTTCTCCTCCTTCTCCTCCTGGAGAGCGAAAAAATTATAATAATAATAAAAAAAATAACAAAAGAGGTAATTCCACTTTTTACCAATCAAATGAAACTCTTGGACCAATACATGTGAAATATATATATATATACATACCGGGATCATTTACAGTGAGCAATAAACTTTTCATTTGTCACAAATTGTATAAACAATATATACTTGCCTATTGTATGTCTTGTTATAATAATTTTGTAAAAAGTTAGAGCTGTAATTTTTACAAGAACTTCTCAGTAAAGCATAGGTCAAGCATCAGAAAGATACCAGTAGTTTTTATCTTCTTGGTCTAGTTCTCAATACGCTTTCCAGTCACCTAATAAATTTGAAGTCACTGATCCACAAAAAGTGATATTTTTGTGCCCTACTCAGTCGAGCACTCGATAGGCTCCCCATAACCACAAAAAAGTACCCAAAACCACCGCGTATGACACCAATGCTTCTTGCATTCGTTATCAGACTTCTGCCAATGAAAGAGCTTTAGTCTCTCCCCGCACACCTACATCAAGAATCGTAATACTAAGAGCATAATTCTCAAACGAATAAAAATTTAGATGATCTAAATAATTATGTGTTGAAATTTTTACGAATAGCCCATTTATTCAAGCAATCCACACAATCAAAGCAATCATATATGGTTCATAACATAATGTAGCCACCATAAAGAATTCCATTACATTTTTAACCAGCAGGGGTATATTCAAAAGGGATTCAAAACTAAATAAACGGAACATGATTATGACAAATTCATGGATCAAATTACATGGTCAATCTTAACATTTCACACATAGTAACCGAAAAGAGCTTCTAGCCCAATGGTATAACTTACCCATCCTCAAAAAGAGAAGGGGGTCAAGATGTAGACAAAAATATGTGTTAGTACTTACCTGAACTCCAAAAAAATAAATAAAAAATAAAAATCAACAGCAACAGCAAAAAAAAAATAAAAAAAAATAAAAAAATCACATAGCTAGTCCTTTCTATTTAAAAAAAAAAAAATGTATATTTTGACATATCACATAATTCCCCATAACTTTTTTAGAACTAGTTTGAAGATCATATGTTATTTTATATTTTCTGTTAAACACCTTGAGTGACTAAATATAATATATTATATATACAGTTTTGCCCCTGCTGCATGGTTATATGCAGCTACAACATTAGTAAATACATTTAACCCAAAAAAAAAAAAAAAAAATGAAATGAAACAAAAATCACCAATCCTCACAAATGAAGAAGGCAGAGAACAAATAAAAAAACAAAAAAAGTCACCACCAACTATATGTTATTTTTATTTACATGATTACAGTTTTTTTTTAACGAATTGACACATTGATAAGAGAAGCGAACGATGTTGAAGAATCAACGAATGAGTTGTGGTTGGGTGAAATGACACTTGAACCCAGAGCTAACTGTCTCTCCCCAAAATGCATTGAGTTGATAGTTTTATAAGATAATACAGTTTCATCTCCACTTTGATATGAACAACCCAATGGGTTGCTATCAATGACATTAGGGATGGCAAAATGACTCATGACCCATCAATCCGTTTTAAAATAGATATGGGTGAACCATTTTAAAATATGGGTCAAAATGGGTGACCCATATTCAACTCAATTTTATAGAGGGTTAAATGGGTTGAATATGGGTCACCCATTTTGACTCATATTTCACCCATTATATAAGAGACTCGGTTTCACAACCTCTATTTGACTCAAATTCACTTCTTCCTTTCTAAAATTCTCTCACACGATCCCAAAATTTCTCTCTCCCACTATCTCTCTCTAAAATTATTTCTCTAAATTCTCTCTGCATCATGGACTTCTCGTGTATATAATACTATGGCTCGAAAAAAAGGGAAAATTACATATAAATGGAGTCAAAGTTTCATATTTACTTAGAGGCTGAGTCAAAGTTCCATATTTCTCTAAAATGGATTGCTGAGGTGGCACATGGTTTTTTACTGTTTAGAAATTGTGGTGCCTAAAATACCCTTCCGCGAAGGTACTACTTTTTCTTCGAATGTGCTACTTTTTTGAACTGAAGGTACTACTTTTTGGCGTCCAGGTACCATGTTTTTTAAACACCCGCGAAGGTACTACTTTTTCTCCGAAGGTACTACTTTTTTGAATTGAAGGTACTACTTTTTTGCACTGAAGGTACTACTTTTTTGTTAGGGAAGGGCATTTTAGGCACCACAATTTTCTAAACAGTAAAAAACCATGTGCCACCTCAGCAATCCATTTTAGAGAAATATGAAACTTTGACTCAGCCTCTAAGTAAATATGAAACTTTGACTCCATTTATATGTAATTTTTCCCGAAAAAAACCTATGTTTATATCTGTATTTCAAAGTAGAATGACCAGATTTATTCATTTAATTATTTATTCTATAAAAAGCTTAACGGATAATTTCATAATATATATGTATATAATATCTTACCTTCGTGGATGCATTGTCACAAAATAAAATAATATAAATTTAAAGAATTTCTAAAATAAATTAGAGGATTTACAATTATCTATACATATTTTTACAAGCTTTTATCCATCTAAAGTAAAAAATAATAATATTAATAAAATAAAAATAAAAATAAAAATAAAAAAATAAAAATAAAAATTATGATAATGAGATTATCCAAAATAATAACTTTATTTTTTCTTCCTAAAACCGATTAGCGGGTCATGACGTGTTGACCAGACTCATTTTTACCCAATCCATATTTAACCCGTTACAAACGGGTTAAATATGGGTTGTGACCCATATTCAACCCGCCCACATTTGACCCTATACAAATTCAACCTAACCCGTCTATTTGCCACCCCTAAATGACTTTTCTTTTCTTTTTTTGAACTAGTTGCTGCATGATGCAGAAGAGCTCTTAACACCTATTGATGTGGAAGTTGAGAAGAGTTTAATAAAGAGTACAGATCGCATCACAGAATTAAAGGCGCATCCATAAGAGTTGTTGTTCTTGATAAAATTAATTCTCTTTTTCTATTCTTTTTTTCTCTTTTCTTTGTTAATGAAATAATTCACTTTTATGCACTTTAATTTTTAGTAGACACTTAATTTAATTAAACTACCTTAAAAAATAAAGTATATCTTATGAATACTTCATGAGGCACATTATTGT